TTCTTTCTTTCCGTAAAGCAATATTTTAATAATTGTTTTGATAACTAGACAATAGGAAACGGTAAAATTTCTGCGGACTTTTTTTAATAAAAAAATTATTTTTTAAATTTTACTTCGATAAATTTCAAGATAAGTTTATTTTCTCTTTACTTAAAAGAATTCTTTGAAACTATTCCCTATCGATCTGTTCAAATTCAAAAAATTCTTAAGACAAGAAACAAAAAAATAAATAAAAATAAAAAGGAAGGCTAACTTTGATGGCCGTGTTATCACAACATATGTGTTATAACAGATAAAATTAAGCTATAGATATTCCGTACGACATCTGCCAATGTTAAGATATAACTTTTATTCAATCCATGTACAGTGTCGTTATAGAAATATCCGTGTACAGATCTCTAGCTTGATATAGATCATAATGATAATATCTAGAAATACAAGACAATTAACAATTTAGAAAAACCGGGATTTATCGTAAATAATTACATTTCGAACATTTATTATTCATAAATTTAAAGACACATAAACTAGTGTATGGCGCTTAATTCTCGATTGTGAGTGAAACATAAACATAAAACAGAACATAAAAAAATATATTTTTTCGAATTAAATAAAAAGAATTTGTAACCAATCAAACATAAAATTTGGCAGTTTCCATTTTTTTAATATAAAGAAAGACATATAAGCTTAATAAATTGATAAAATTTATTAATAAACATTATTTTTTCACACCTTAATATTTAGAAATAGTTCTTAATAATTATTCATTTTTATTAAATATGCATGGAATAAATATAATATGATTTATACGAGATTTAAAATTAATTCTATCAAATATTTTTACATTACAAATAGTGAAAGAGGCGTTGTCTAGAAAATCAATAATAGGAAGTAAGCGACGTCTAGTTTTTAATTTTTTATTGAGTGGTCACGAGAAAAGTTACAATGAAACAACTTGTTGGTCACGTTAAGAATAGTAATAATATATCAATTTTTCAATGAAAAAATAAATAGTTAGCTATCAGACTGAAAAATGAACAATAATTACGTGTTCATTTGCTGTAAATGTTTATCATCGGTCCATATCAAGTTCTGCATTTAAACAAATTATCACAGTTACACATCATTTTTACTTTTAGTTTTAAAGAAATTTGAAACATAATTGACTCAAAGTGGACAAGGAAAAAACCTAAATGTACTTTCTCAAAAATTGTTCAAATTATATAAATTATGATATATCGTGATTGCCTGAAAGCACTTTCTCATTACGGACTATTAGAGATAAGCAGAAAATACAACTTCACGAAACAATTTCTGATCTTGTAACTTCGCTATCCTTTGATCATTTATTAAGAATTTTTAAATAACGAATGTTTAAATGCATTACTATATATTCACAGCCAATATGACCAATCTACGCTACAAGTATATACTGTATATATTTTTTCTACACTCGCTGCTTATTTTCATCTTCAACTTTTATCATAAATCAAATAGTTCCCTGGAGTAAATCATTAAAATAATGACATTTGATGGCAAGGTTTGTCCGTTTCTAGCTTGTACACTGTTCCATTAGTTACTTATCAATATCAATACAAGAAAATCCACAGCATAACGATTTTTTTTTTCTTGAAGTAAATAATAAAATCCGGCTTTACTAGATTCCACCCATCATTCGACCGGTTTTAAGGTCTAATATCTTAACTTTTTACATATCTAAAATTTGGAAGATTATATACAAATCGCTTTCGAACTATCTTTAGCAGCAGAACGGAGAAAAGTCGTTCCATTATTATTATTAATGTCCGCTGGATACTAGCATCAATCGCGAAAGAAATGAGCCAAAACGCATGCTGACAGATTATTTTAACAAAGAGATTAAATATAGGCGAAACATTATTTATTTTTATTCCCTACGCAATTGCGCATAGCCAAGATAATACAAAATTACAACTTCTAAGAGTTAATTACACAATTAAAACCACTTCCTGTTAGTGAAACTCTCTTTATATATTTATTTAATAGGAAAATTTATAACGAAATATATATTTAGTTTCATTTTTATTCGTTTAAATTATTATCTACTGCATCAAAACTAAATTAATAGATTAATTATCAAGTAAGATGACTTAAAACTAGAAATTTTGTTTCTCATTCGTTGAAATTTCAGTTAGTCTGTAAGATAAAGTATAAATTTAATTTTAAAAAAAGAATAACTTTTTACTTATAAAAGCAAGGTGCTTCTTTATTAGTTAATTAATGCAGAGAATATAAATCGTGATTTATATTGAGATTATGTATGTGACATTAATTAATCTAAAATATTAACAGCGTAATCAATAAAACCGTAGTGTATAACAGTCGATTTTCGAATGGGAAATAACTAATTCATTCTAAAAAAAATATGAAATTAATGCATTTTACTTAGAAAAAGACTGGTTTTTATTGGTTTCTCGCACAAAAGAATATTACTAGAAGCAATAAATATAATTTATGTTGCCAAAATCAATAACGAAAGATTGTGGTGTATGTATCACTAAAAGAACAAATATAGAAAAAAAACTACGAAGTAAATATTACTGAAAAATAGAACTATATATATATTTTTATTACTAGAATAATGATATGTCTTTATGAAAGAAAAAATATTTTGAAAAAGTTTACTTTTATTAATAACTGTTGAAGCTGTAAGAGAAAGAAAACCTGACAATTAATATGCATGTTTTTTATATATCTTATAATTAAATGCAATATTATTCTCTTCTCATAAAATTAATTATATCAAACGTTTCATTTCTGATTTAACGGATAGAAAGAATACACTTTTGTAATACAAAAATGTCACGCTCTTCGGTTATTAACTTGAACAAAATATGACAATTTTTTGAAATATAATAATACATATTTAAGATAATCATGTAATAAATTTAAAGGAAATAAAATCATCCGAGACTAAAATATAATACTTGATCACGTCTCTGTTTTAAGTAATTTAATGTGATTTACTGATCGACAAGGTCAATCTTTATTGTGTTCTCTCACGTTTTGATGCATCGTCTGAAATTTTCTATTACAAATTTAATAAAATATATATCATGTGTTCCGAATTTTAATAGCTTACTTTTAAAATGCACAATTTCCATTTCTTTAAATTACTTGAAAATTTATAAACCAATTACTAACATTAAAATTTTTGAATTTTTAAAGCTAAATTTATGAGCAAACTATATAAAAAAATGTAAACTTTTAAAGTAAAAAAAAATTATATTTATGCCTCGTTAAATTATATATAATGTTATGAAATAATATATAATTCAAACATTATCATATAATAAAAGATATAGTCTTACTATACTAAGAAACTAATAAAAATAATCAGTAGAAAAAGTTTAATGAATTGCAAGCTTCAAAAATAATATTTAAACCTGCTATAAAAATGCTAATATAGCATGAATTTTATCGTGCTAATTCGTTCATTTAGTTTAAATAAAACTCCCTCCCATTTTAATTTAGAGAAATATAATTAAACAATGATAAAATCTAATTAAATTTTTAACTCTGGAGGACAATTCTAGCCAATGCGATACTCTGGCTTTGTCTTTTATTTCTAGAAAATCTAAAACTTCCACAAGAGATTATTGATAAAACAGAAAAAGTTAAATATTGAAAACTATCGATAATGCAAACTCGCAGCAAATATTTCCTTTTTAAACTGTCAGGCAATTTTACACGGATTTTTTAAAGTGTCAAGGACATTAGTAGATGGCTAATTCTTAGAAGCCATTACATAATCGACAGCAAGAAAAACCGAGGCGCAAATAAATTGAAACCCTGGTAATACACTGCATCTATGTAACGCGTTATTGGAGAAACTCATGGTGTATAGAAAGTATTGGTTTCCTATACTCTTCATCGATGATTATTTCGAAACATCTGCAACAAAATAATATTTCTCAAAGGCGAAATAAATTATTAGTAAATAAATTCTCTACGAATTCCTTTAAATTTTCTCAGGTTTCGGTTAGGTAAAGTTTGTATTGTCCGCCAAAATGACAAACTATTGGCACCAGGACAAGTTTAAAAACAGAAGGTATTTCTCCCTCACCGCAATTAGCCGGATATACATTACTTTGGCTTTATTCCGTTTATATTAGACTTTAATGACCGAACAAAAACGATTTAAAGCAATTGAGCAAAACTAAGTGCATATAATTTTTAATCACTGCTCTATCTGCTTTAAAAATCTCATCAAAAAATTAACTTAAAACTTCAGAGTATAAATTTACGGGGCTGATTTTGTTTTATAAAGTCAAATGTTTGTCAATTTAAGTGGAAAATATTCGAATTTATTATGTTTAAAAATTGTTAAATCCAATTTGTCTCGCTTTCTGTACGAATAACGACCCTTTTATGTAAAGTCTGATCTCGAAAAACACCTTTACACCTTGCCTATAGGTCCTATCCAATGTTTTCTTACATTCGATACGCATAACGCCCTTCTTGCGTAAGTATTATTTGAGAAATGCATTGCATTTGAAACGGTCTAACGCAAGCAAAAATATCATTTAAAATAAAGACAAAGATAATTTAGATTAAAAAAAAGATAAAAATAATTAATAAAAGCGGGTTAAAACTCTTATTTTAACATTATGTATATTAGAAAAATTTTTCTTTCCATTTAAATTATCGAATTCGTATTGGAACCATCTGCATAAAGTATAGGAAAAAGTTTAAATCAGATTTCCAAGTTTAAAATACACTGGATAGTTTCAGCAAAAATAAATTTTCCAGAAGAGAAAATAATTAAAGGACGTCGCATATCGATACGCTTTTCATTATTTTTTATTTTAAAATTATTATTTAAACTTCATCGATTAAACATTCTTATATCGATTCGCAGCTAGTCTAAGGTTCAGCCTCAATTCCGATACAGTTTCATGGCTGACTTTTACGTCAATAAAACAAGAATTGGTCGATAAGAAACGAAGAGAAAAACTCACCAGCAATAGAAGAAACAATGTTATGTCAACGACAGATCGGGCTTTCATGTCTTTTCTCTAAATATAGGCGATGGTAGTGAGAACCGGCAACCCCAGTGTCACAACTGTCGCACGTACAGAATGTGGATCTGTATATAACCGAGCAGATTGAGTCATCTTATAGGTTTTGTACGTGGGAGGTGACACTTATCCTTGTACATCATCAAATACCGTCGAAATATCGCGCGTAACTCCGGCTTAGAAAACCGGCCATCTAAAGCATCGGTATGTGTAGCACCTCTTCTAGCCAAACATAGAATGAAAACGAACGGTTGGTGGAGCCATCGTCGCAAACTGCAGCGCCATCGGCGGAAAAAACCTTGAAACTTTTCGGCTGATCGTGTTTAATTGCGCTTCATATTCGTTAATAACTCGATTTTTATGCCAAACGCACTTGAGCCAAACCCTAAAACACGCATTCTCAAACCGCGCGGTAATCCCTAGAAAACGATTACCATCCCTTCCGGATGATCTCACTTTTTTTCTTGACCACAATTGATCAGTTTTAAATTTCATTCGAGCGCAGACAATCGAACAACTCTGTGTTTCATTTTTTATTCGTATACAATTATGAAATAGATAAATCCACAATACTTTAATTAAATAATTACGTATAAATAAAAAATACGTTAAATAATACATCCATTTAATTAAACAAACAATCAAATAATTTTTAAAGGGATCATAAAGATAAATCTAAAACACAGAACTAAAAACTCGATACTTATTTAACTGATGACTCATTTTAAAAGTTAACTCTATGAAATTTATGATAGTTTGAGTGGTTTTAAACGGGAGTCAAGTAACGAGCATTTTCAGTATCGTGTATTTTGACTATTGTAACTATCGAATACCGTTTTTTTTTTTTTATTTAAGCCAAAAACAACCAAGTTTAATCATTCCACATTTCTATAATAATTATATTAATTAACTACGTAAATAAGAATGTACTATAAATAATTAGATTAAACAAATAGAAATAACTATAGCGTATAATATTTATTATTTCTTTTCTGTATAAAATTGCTTACTTTCATTTTAGAAGTGTTGAGTAACAAGTTTGAAAGAGAAAAAATTAAGTATAAAATTATCTTCTATTAGTAATTTCGTAATCAATAAAATACATTGGTCCTCAAAATCCAACATTCTAAATATTTCCTTAAATTTTATTCCTATAAAGTTATCTATAAATTAAAAAGGATACTCAATGTAAATTTTATTTATTAACTTTTCTAAAAATAATTTATAAATTATATATATATTATTAATAAAAAAATATACAATATATAAACTTGCAGAACGCATTTGTATATTATCATATATACAGACAGAAAGAAGGTGATGATTATTACTTCCAGTGGATAGACAGTGAATAAAACCAGGCATTTACGATTCGAATCGTAAGTAATCTTGGCATTTTCATTTAGTTTAAACAATTTTTCATCGCGCTAATTAAAAAATTATATCTAAACAAATTACTTTTATAAAATATACGAGATAACTTATCTAAAAAACTGAAAATAAATCTAATTTTACTAAGCGTAAAAATACGAATTATTTTGTAATTTTGTCTGATGCATAAACTCGGAAAAATAAGTTCTTATTCATAACTTTAAATGCACTTGTTTAAATGTTTTGTTAGAAATGATTGGAAAGAAAGTCGAGGATGACAAAAGTAAAATTACTTATCAATCAAAGCTAAAGAATGACAAATAGAAAATAGCTAAAGTAACTAAGAGCAATCTCCATTAATTGAATAAATATAATAATTTTTAAATTAATTTACTCGAATTATAGTGAATTATCCAATTACAAAGCCAATAAACTATTTCAAAGAATTAAAAACATTTTCTCGAAGAATAATAAAACTTAATTTGTCTAACGATAATAATGAACACTATAAGAATTTCTTTATAAGCTTCCATCGCATATTTTTCACGTTTTATATAAGCAATAAGCTGTTTACAAGATAAATTAGTGTCGAGGTTATTAGCGAATAGCCATTAAAAGCTATAATGTCAGTTGTTTTCAAATTAATAGTCCAAACGATAAACACGGATTCTCCTTCACTTACATAAATTTGCGCGTGTGTGTGTGTTCAAACGACTATAAAAACAATGAAATATTAAGCCCTTCCAATAAATATAAAAAAAAGTTCATTGATTTTTTTCTTTCCCCCATCTTAGGAAAAAGGCTCAATTTTCTGTAGTCTGTAATCTTCCTTGATTTATCATAAATCTGAAGTCCGTCACGAACAACATTAATTAAAACTTCCTTCAAATAAATTACATTAGGCATCCCACATTGCATCACGCTCTCGTTGAAAAATTTCGCATCTGATTAATCAGTCTTTTGAGAAGAAAGGGAGAGCGAAAAATTCAACACCAACTCAAATGACCGCGAGCGAAGTACAGAAGAGAGGGATGCGCTGCGTGAAAGACATGTAAAAACAAAAGACCAAAAAAAAAATGATCTGAACACCGATCGAAAGAAGAGTTGTTCATCCACTATATACGCAATTATCGCTCGCGTTATTTACAGAGATAGTAAACGATTAATGTAGCTTGTTAATTCCTTGACATCTATATATCTGAAGATACTGAAGATATCTTGCTAATGTAACTGTTAGATATTAATTTTTAAATAAATTTAATTAAGATTATCAAATTAAATACTCCCGACTGATTACAAAAATTCACATTAAATAAATCTACCGACAGTAATCTACTTACGGAGCAATTAACGAATTACTAACTCCAGAGTAAACCTAAAATAACACTATTTTTATAGGCTATATAAGAAATGTTCATCTCCTCGAGTTTGTTACCTTCTTTTAGCCTTCTCCGTTCATTTTGAGAATGCTGATGGGGAATCTTTTATACTGTTTATTCCGGAGTTAATGTTTCGAAAGTATTGTGAATCTATATTATTAAACTTGAACAAGTTTTGAAACTGTTGACTCTAATGTCTTTCAACATCATATTTTTCCTCCAATGTTACGCAGCCAACCGGCACAATCTTTATTGAAGTAAGATATAAAGTTTAGCGACAAAACTTTATTTTTTTACGATAATATTATATATCCCTCGCGAAATAACGTTTCTATGCTAATTCAAGGACCTTAATTTAAAAGTTATATTATATTAATTATTATTATAAAAATTCTATATACATGCCAGTCCGGCAACCGTAAAAAATCAGTAACGTTGATAATTTATTAATTATTAATTAGGTACATATCATTTAACAAAACTATTTTGTTCTTTATTGAAATGAAAATGAAAATTTTGAATTAATTTTACTTTAAAAATTTCAAATTGTGGACTTTTATTTATATCTAAACATTAACTATATTCGAGTAACTAATATTAATTTGGAAATAATTCTTTCAAATTAAAAATCTTGATTATTCTTAATTTTATTATTATATTCTCTTTATCACTTTAAGCAATTATCGTGAAAGCAAAACGGTGTATAGAATTATGTAATTAGTTAAACTGTTGCAATTTCATTCCACGAAATGGGCGTATTTCCTATTGCCAAATTTTACCTTCACCTTCGAATGTACTGTATATATAACACGAATATTTTATTTGGACTTTTACCTTTGATCAAATTCTGTAAAGCAATAAGAAAACATTGAGATTATGTAAAAATTTAAATATACGTATTAAAACTATATTTTATTTTATAAACTTAAAATGAGGTCCGAGAATACCATTGAATACTGTCCACAATGCCTACACATAAGCCATAGAATCTTTTTTAATTAAAATTTCTAAAATTAAATGACTAAAATTTTTATAACATTGCAGTTTATGTAAAATTAATTTAATAAATATAACGTATATATTAATTTCATACAATAAATTTTATCATTAATTCATATTTTAAAAGTTTGTCTGAGAAAATATATCGATACGAGGAGATAAAATATAATAAAGTTAAACTGTATATTCGAAAAAACTATTTATCGGTTTTTTCATGCTTTAAGAACATGAAAAAACCAATATTTTAATTTTTAGAATATTAAATTATAATCATTCTTACTTCAAGCTTAAATAACTACAAATTGAACAATTTAGTATAAACAAATAGATTATTCATATATATAAAACTGAATGAAATATGATATTTAAATACAATTTTTGCTTAGATATTGAAATGTAAATGTCCTTAAAATTTAAAGCAGTCAGCTTTATATAACAATATTTTCATATTTCTTTGTAATGCAATATTGATTTATTTTATTATTTTACGTTAAAAAATTTTCTATTATCAAAAGTATTCCTATGAAAATGCTTCAGAGTTGTTATAGTCAGTTATAATCCGTCATTCAATACGATTTTATCTTCTCCATTTACAACTTGACATTATTCATTAAGCTCTTAATTTATCACTAATTATGTTTTGAATTTTTATTTATTTAGATTTCATATTGTGAATTATAATGCGACAAAATTTAATTGCAGTCTTCTTATTCAAAATATCCTCTCTTAGCAGTTATAAAGGTTAAATATACTCCTCTTGTCTTTTAAATCTTATTCTCCTGTTTATCGATGTTTTAAGAACATTTAAACATAGACTAGAGCGAACTTATTTCCATATCATTAAATATTCACTGTATAATTATATCCGAAGTTGATAAATATTTACATATTTATAGTAGGTTGACTAATCACGAAGAGCGACATTGTATAAAATTTAGTTTCTCTTCCTTTACAAGGTGCAATATCTTTTCAATTACATCTAATCAAATCCTGAAGAGGTTCATGCTTCTATTCATTATTGCATCGTAGTCCCTAATTAGATCAACTCTGTAGCATTGATGCTTGTTCAAACCTCTATAGAGACCGGCTTGTTCTTAATGGTCCTTCTATTTTCGTACGTCTTTCGAGGTCGAGAAAGACTTCACAGGTACGGGAATGATTTATAACCAGTTCCTTAATATTATATGAAATTGTGAGAATTTTTCAAAAATAATGCCAACTTCAACTATTTTCTATATTATGTACAGTACATACTGTACAGTACTAAAAATAGATACTTTCTTTACCATAATTCTCTTCGTCTTCTAATTTATGTTTCCAAAAGTTAATTATTCGCGTGAAAAATTCGAAATATAAGTAAAATATTTTAATTGTTTTATAATTTTTAATGAATTATGAATTCGCAATTATATATACTGTATGTGTATAAATATTTAATGTTAAAATTCTCAAATAAGTGTAAAATTCACAAAACATTTGAAAAAATTATACATCTACTAAAGATTTGCTTTATTTTTTATATTTTTAGCATCTGTAATAGTTTAATTTTCTTTATATGTAAATAGATGTCAAAAGTAAATTAAAGAAGCTGAACGATACAAATTTTATCAACGTTCAGTTACT